GGGGGGGGGTTGTATAAAACTTCAACAACACGCCACCTCAAAATTATTAAGTTCAATCTGACATTTTTGGCTGTTTTGGGCTACTAAGAACTATGACCATGAGATCGGAAATCAAATGTTCTATCTGCTCTATCAAATTTGTAAGATTATTCGGAGTCGGTATCAAGATATTCAGAGAATTGCATTTTAAAAAATGCCTGACATGATTTTGAAACTGAAAATCATTGATGTCAAATTTCTCAAAACTAGATACTGAGCAGGTAGAACTTTGTCATTCTGATGTAGGGAACAGTCAAATAAAACAAATATAATATGTGAGTCAGCGTGGTGGAATCAGGCTCTCGTCCAAATAATCAAATCAAAGATATGTGAGTCAGCGTGGTGGAATCAGGCTCTCGTCCAAATAATCAAATCAAAGATATGTGAGTCAGCGTGGTGGAATCAGGCTCTCGTCCAAATAATCAAATCAAAGATATAGGCATTTTTCAGTCCGTTTGGCAATTTTTATCAATTTTTTGTTTTTAAGCTCAACAGCTTTTATGTCCTTTTAAAAACACATTTCTGTTTTATTATCCTGAAAAACGTTGATTAAAGGCACAAAAAATGTACATTTTCAGTTTTCAAGTACTCTCACGCATTCAAAGATACCAAGCTTTGGCGGTCATTTTCTCCCTTATTTTTCCTCTGAAATCAGGTTACCCTACTTACTTCAATCCCAAATATTTCGACTTCTATTAAAGATAGAGGGGTACTTTTTTCACCGAAAGATAGACAAATGAACAGGCTTTAAGGTGACACCAATAACTCCACATGTCCAAAAATTGACGAGTGCTTGATTCCACCACGCTGCCTCACATATCATCTTTTCCAACTGCAGGGTCAACGGGACCCTGGAGATTGTCCCCTTCCAGAAGCTGGACTTTGGGGAGACGGAGGTTCTGGACACGTTCTACAACGCCGAGGTGTCGGTGGTGGACATGTCGGTGTCGCTGCAGCAGGCTCCGCTCTTCTACCACATCGGCATCCGCCAGTCCATGGGCATGAAGCACAACATCGTCACCATCTTTGACTCGGACCCGGAGATGTCTATGAGTCTACGGGTGAGGCTGCTGCTGTGTCTTGTGATGTGTGTGTGGTGTGTGTGTGTGGGGGGGGGGGGGGGGGGGTGTTTGTGTTGAGAGGGAGTGGGTGTGTGTGGATGCGTCACATTGACCCCAATACCAGCTGTCTCAGTTTGATCTCTTCACTGCAGGAAGTCTAATTAGGGGGGGGGGGGGGGTTGGCAAATTAATTTTAAAATTTTTTTATTAAGTGTTTTACGGAGCTCGCAACTGCTTAAGGTCATAGTATGAGTGCACGGGACCATTTAAACATTTTCAGTTGGTAGGAGATTTTGAATTTTGCCCAGGTGGAGGCCGAAGCCTACTCTTATCAATTTTAGACCACCAAGGGATCTTGGGGGAATGGCAAATGCTCGTGAGCAATTAAATGAGCCTGGCATTCGTGGACAGTTTGCTGAGTGCGAAGTTTATTATGATGAACACACAGTTTCTGCAGATCGCACGGTCTTAGCGAACAAACACTGTCCCTGTTAAATAAAACAAGAAGAACTCTCGTAACAGCTCAGTGTGATATTCTATATAGATGTTAAGTCATAGGTGGAGATCTGTCTATTTATTTCAATAGTCATTGTGGTGCATATGCTGGAAAGGAAGCAGATGAGAGTGATAGTGTGACTCTTTTGTTCGTTGTGGGATTATTTTTTTCGAGCTCCAATTGCTTCTATTGGTGAGTGCATTTTTTTATGCCTACTCTTTTATTGTACAAATACCCCCCCCCCCCCCCTTCCCACAGCCACCAGCCACATCTGTTGTTCACATTTAAATGACTTTATAATGGTGGCTTAAGTCTACATAAAGTTTAATTGCTTCATACTGATTGGACAGAGTTCTCAACGCAGACGGTTACAAAACAGTAATGAATTCTCACAGCAGTGGCCTGTGAATAGAGGGTTTTGTGTGTTGTGCGTGTATGCATTTGTGTGTTGGGGAGCTGGGGGGGGGGGGTATATTGTGACCAGCTGAATTTCCTCGAGTTGACGCTTTGCTAGATCAGAGTGTGAAGTCTAAAGGAAAATCCATATGTGAGTCAGCGTGGTGGAATCAGGCTCTCGTCCAAATAATCAAATCAAAGATATGTGAGTCAGCGTGGTGGAATCAGGCTCTCGTCCAAATAATCAAATCAAAGATATGTGAGTCAGCGTGGTGGAATCAGGCTCTCGTCCAAATAATCAAATCAAAGAAATGTGAGTCAGCGTGGGGGAAACAGGCTCTCGTCCCAATAATTCCCTT